TGTCGAATCTCCATTTTTAATAACAGTGAAAACAGTTCATAACAAAGAGTGAGCTTAAAAAGAAGTCACATTTTCACTGTTTAAAAAAATGGAGGTACACTAAGAAAGCACAGAGGTCGCGATATCGTCACCTAAATCATGTGTACACTATATGCTGATCTGGCCAAGGTGAGATAACCCGTGCCTGGCTCAATAGCACTGACTGAGAAATAACAAATTTACTTACATTATATGATGCGAGTCGCTCTGTTCTAAGACTAGCTACAGATAAAAACAATACGGGGATAGGACAATAATATACCGGTACTATGATGGTGTATGTGTATGTGCCCGCACGCACGCACGCGCGCATGTGTGTGTGTGTGTGCTCACGCGTGCGTGTGAGAGAGAACAGGAGACGTGTTCTTTCATCTGTAAGAATGTGTCTGAATATGTGAATGTATGTGATCATATATTTCATTTAATATTCACAAGAAATAGCTAGATATTATTTTACATCAACGTTTGTTTACTGGCAGCGTTTTGTTAGTGTGCATGAATCCACAGCCCTCCACTCCCTTTCCTCCCAGCCGAATCCTACTACAAATCTCAATCAGTCACACAGAACAATACCAAAATAAAACTAATTAATCACCAGCTGACATCACCACTTGAAACACGCAAAAAAACAAAACAAAACCCCAAACAAAAGCTGTACTAAAATTCAAAATGGCTACAACCCCTATCTATCTAGACTAGCGCTTGTCAATCTTTTCATAGCCAGCGCCCACTTTAGCCACCTTTATGAAGTTGAAATTTTCGTATCCCACACCTACATGTATTTCCAAGCCGCGCATTAAATAACACCTGTCACAACTCAGGTGATCCCCATCGCCTCCAAAAATTCCCAAATCACCCACTAGTGGGCGATATCGCTCGGGTTGGCAAGTGCTGATCTAGACCTACGCTCCATCTAACTATCACGCCACTCCTAAATAAAACAATCACAGAACAGTTGATATCAATGTCATTTGATTATGATAGTCTTGTTTTACTGACCATAAGAAGCAGTTCTCATCAATACCATAATTTCCAAATCGAAGCAAAAAAAACCAAAAAAACAACAACCCCCCCAGCTGCAACTTGGTGGTATGATTGATACATACTTCATTAAATTACATTTGCACCTGGTTTTGAAAGGAGATTTACACTTTTCAAGAGTGTAACAGTTACTTTGCTTTTTTTTAGTAGAGGTTTTACGGCTCTCGCAACTGCATAAGGTCAAATGAGCGCCAGAAGATTAGAGGTGTTACAAGAAAGTAACAAAACATTAAAAAAGAAGAAGGGGAGATAAGGACGATAGATGTTTGATTAGAAAGAAGAAGCAAACCACACTAGAGCACCCACCAACCACCCAGTTACTTTGCTGAGATGAAACCAAAAAAAATCCAGACAACGAGGTAGGCATCACTCAGAGATCCGGTACCTCCGACACATGCTGGCACAGAAGCAAAATCTACACACAGAGAACTCCAAGAACTTTATCCCCACCAGTTCCACATATACGGCTAAATCAATTTTTTTTAAAAATCTAATTTAGGAAAAATTTACCAAAAACAACCTTGCAACCTTTCAATACAGTAAAACTTTTAATAATTTTACAATTTCGATGTGATTATGACATCAGATAGGGCAGAAATGCACTCAACTTTCTTAATAATAATTTTCCAAATACAGATTAGAACATGGATGAAATTCACTCAACTTTCTGAACAATAATTTTCCACGTAGAGCTGAATATGTGAATATATGTGATCATATATTTCATTTCATATTCACGAGAAATAGCTAGATATTATTTTACATCAACGTTCGTCTACTGGCAGCTTTTATATTTTCCTAAATGTCAGAGCATTTCTATGTGCAAACATGAGTACGAGATGGGCTTTTCCGACCACATCACACTATAGGCCTACATTACTCCAGCCTGCACACAATGGGCAACAATCTCTGTGAGATGAGCAACAGTCAGGACTCTGAGACAGACAGACAGACAGACAGACAGCATGTTCTATTCCAACACTCAAACCAAACCAACAGCGCTTCTTCATGTGTGTCTTCGTAGCTTACGAAACAGCTGCACAGAACAAAAAAGCAAAATCAAACCCACCAAAGGAAATAACTGAGCAATCTGTGTTGATCTACCTGAAGGCAGTACTGGACCTTGTTCCCCTGTACTGTAACCAGGGATGCCATGTGATTTTTGAAAAAAACCCTGAAAATGAGCGGAGCATCACATCTCACCTAAACCGAACCTTGTAAAGCTTTTAAATGAGCAAACAAAAATACATTCTCTCTTATCTCTCAATCAGCAGTACAAACGTCCTCTTCCCACTTCTTCTCTTTGTTCTATATTATAATAAAACATCCACCTGTCTAAAACAACCATCCTCCTCATCGACAATCCTCTCAGAGAACTTTGACTGTACCTTGTGACTGTTTAAATTTTCCTAAAGGTCAAAACAATTCTTTGTGTGATTGACCGGGTTAAAGGAGAAAAAAAACAAACAGTAGTGATTGTACAGGGTCAGGATATAAAGGAAAATGACTAACAAACTGACTGGGATCTTGTTTCAATCCAAAGACAGTCGGTCGACTGCCGGTTCTTCAACACACAGAGGAGCCACTCTTCAAAAGTACAGCCAAAAATTTGTCGAGTATGCTGCCAATTTTCCTACCTTTCGCCATAAGTGACTCTTGAAAGAAACACCTCCCTACACATCAATAGTGTAAGCCAGGTTAAGTGAGTCTAGAAAAACAGCACAGAGCAGCTCGAATCATATTATAATTATCATAATTATACTGCGATACATGAATCCAAGCTAGGGCATCAACAAGGAAGTCCAGGTCGGAGTAAGGGTAAAGTATGACCTCCAACGTCTCCACTCATCGAGAAAATCGCAGCCGGCCGTTTCCTGTTCCTGTCACACATAGCTGTCGTCCAACTAATGAGACCCCCATACAGTGGCCCCATATGTAGCCCACTGAATCAAACTGACTTTTTCTTTACAGCCACATTGACACAATTTAGATAATTTATGAGGCGGGCTTCAACCCTGCCTGTCAGAACCAGCTCAAGCTGAGAGGGATACAACCACACCAGCAGCAAGACCAAGAGACTCGATAAAAATTCCCCCCACACGGGGATCGAACTCGGGTCTTCTGTGTGCGAAGGCGGAGCATCTAAACACTCCACCACAGATGCCGGTCAAACAGACATAACGTGGTGTGGTGTGGTGTGGGTTATACTTTACTTTCCCCCAACAATCGCCTCCTCCTTCCTCCTTGTTGTGTTGTAGCGCTATCACAGGAAAGCGACCTTCGAGCAACTTACAGTTTTTGTCATGGCCAGCAAACATAATATATTTTTGAAAAAAATCAGATCTATGATATATTATTTTCCTTTCTACAAAACAGGAGCATATACAGTACACAACATTTTTAGACGATAAGTGTGTACTGTACACCCTCTACTTTGAAGACAGTCACGGATTACATAGTGCTTTTGCAATGAGAGGCAGAGTTGTTAAAGTTGTTCTTTCTTAAATTATTCTGGATCTGACCCGGTACTAATTAACATGCTTGTGTGTGTGTGTGTGTGTGTGTGTGTGTGTGTGTGTGTGTGTGTGTGTGTGTATGTGTGTGTGTGTTTGAGCGCGCACACGCGTGTGAGCATGACTGTAAAACCGCATGCGCGTTTTGGCGTTTCTTTCATCCACTTGAAATTTACAACACAAAGCTGAATCCTGATTTAGCCTCATCTCGTTCGGTTTTTCTCTAAATATATCCTTGACACTAATCGATGCACTCCAACATTACAAGTGTAGCTTCCCCACCCATCTCAAACAACAAGAACTACCGTATGAAGCACGTAACTAAAAGAAAAGAAGGACAAACGACGATTGTTCTAGCAAAACGGAAGGATTTGCATCAGATCTAGGAAACATAGAGAGCACATTGCGATACAAGAGAGCGGCGTCGCTGTACACATTTCTACATTGTCGTCAAATACAACACAACAACAAAATAAACGATGATCGCGCAGAAGCCAGAGCCCTTTTCCCAGACAGAACGGGGCAAACAATTCATCATCGACATTTTCTTCTAAAAAGTATGAGCAGATTCGTGACGGAACAATATCAACAGTGTATTCCTCTGCATAAATTATCCAACGACACAGTAAAAATACAGACATTTTCTAGAAGTAGTATAACAACAAAAATACACCCACAATGGTAAAAGGATGGGGAGAGGGTACATTTTGCAAGAAAACATTTTACAGTATAGAGAAAGACAATGTTCGTAAGTGAAGTGCAGCCTAGAGTATGTACACGAAATGCTCTGTACAATTGGTGTAGGTTTTTTTTCCCCCCTCACAGTCAGACCTTAGGCCTTGACCTTCAATAACAGCCATGTCGCCGCTGTGGATTGTAGACTATTTATAGATGTATAAATAATAGAGACGCAATTTACTCACGGCAACGGGCTTGGGTACGATGAGAAAACAAAGTGATCCACACAGCATTCTCTCTACAACAGAAGCAAACATCGATGATCGATTGAACCGACAACACAGACACTCCAGTCATTGCCACTCGGATAGTAAGACAATATCGTAAAGCAACACACACCAGCACAGTTAACAACTCGCCTCTTATATTTGTAGGGGGGCCCACAGTCACCAAAGAGGAACTTCTTTTAAGAACGAAGAATGGAAT